AATTTATCCGTTGCAGACTGGAGCGAATTTGGACTTTGGAAGGGAGCCAGCCCGCGCTGTCTTCTAAACCACTCCCTAAGATTATTATGGGTTATTCAGTGTGTTTCCAACATTTCCGCGTTACGAGTGCATAGTCATGGCGTTCAAGGAAGTTTTTGTGCTTTTCGCTTTCTTTGTTTGCTCAACAAGTGCCACGACTTGTACATATGGATATGACTACAACTGCGCTTTCGACGAGAGCTGCTGTTTGGATGGTATCTGTAGAGAAAAGTGCAGCGGCTGCACTTTCAATTACCAGTGCGGTACGAACGAATGCTGTGACTCGGATGGCTATTGCTATGATTGCTCTGTACTCAAGACTCCAGCCATTGTAGGCATTGTCTTCGGCTGTTTGGTGGTCACCGCCATTGTGATTTCCATCGTGGCGTGTTTCTGCTGTGCTTGTTGCCCTTATTATCGCTATCGCCACCCAGGAACAGTCATCGTGGGAGCGCCTGCCACAGGATACCAGCAGTTTGTAACCACAACTTCAACACAGCAGACCATTCCTCCGCCAGTACCCCAGGGATATGCTGCTCAGCCGCCACCGTACTATCCACCGCAGCAAGCCGGTCCATACCCTCCTCCGCAGGCTCAAGGAATGGCTCAGTACCCCCCTCCTCAGGCCAAAGGACCTTGAGAAGCCCAAGCAGTTATTGGACAGTCTATCAGCAGCAGAAGTTGGACTGTCAATGCTTTGAACTTTGTAGCACTAGAAATTATTTGTAGACGTGTTTTGTAGTCATAAGTATGTGGGATGTTCCACGTTAATTCACTTAAATTTCTTAAAAGAGCCATTCCATAGAGTTTCTCTAAAGTCAGTTTTTGTACCTTGTTTGCAGATTTCTCTCTTGGGCTCCCACCTCATGGTATAGCTTAACCATCATCTCTCACATACGATTAGGGCGGAAGGTGAAAATCTTTTAAAAATGACTGTCTTTTGAAGTACCATGATCTGGGTTTTAGAATTGATACAGAGAAGCAACAAAGTTATTTTTATATCCTTTACTCAGGGGCATACCAGTTGGCCTTCTATTTTGGTTTTCAAGAATGATTGTTGATTTGATTGGGAGTCCCGCAGCCACATTTCATCAGAGCTGACCATCTTTTTTTTGTACCATGATCTGGCTTTTAGAATTGATACAGAGAAGTAACAAAGTTATTTTTATATCCTTTACTCAGGGGCATACCAGTTGGCCTTCTATTTTGGTTTTCAAGAATGATTGTTGATTTGATTTGGGAGTCCCACAGCCACATTTCATCAGAGCTGACCATCTTTTGGGCTGTGATGAACAAAATTTTTGAATTGTGTTGACACTTGGTTACAAGGCTTTCTTTATCTTACCAACTTTAGGGCTTAAGGAACTGTGGGCACAGTCTAGTTCATGCTAGGCATTTCTGGAGCTAGGGTTTTTAAAGTAGGGCATTGCCATAAGGTAATATTAGGGCTTGATTTGGTAAAGATAAAGACCTCAGTGGTTGATTTGTATCCAGGGTTAGTGACCATCTAGTACTTCTTGTCAGTGCCGAATTACAAGCTAACAAAGGGGGCCAGACAAATCATGAAACAACTCAACCTAGGGCATTAATTTTGTTCTCATCAGTGCTAGCTGAANCAGCCACATTTCATCAGAGCTGACCATCTTTTGGGCTGTGATGAACAAAATTTTTGAATTGTGTTGACACTTGGTTACAAGGCTTTCTTTATCTTACCAACTTTAGGGCTTAAGGAACTGTGGGCACAGTCTAGTTCATGCTAGGCATTTCTGGAGCTAGGGTTTTTAAAGTAGGGCATTGCCATAAGGTAATATTAGGGCTTGATTTGGTAAAGATAAAGACCTCAGTGGTTGATTTGTATCCAGGGTTAGTGACCATCTAGTACTTCTTGTCAGTGCCGAATTACAAGCTAACAAAGGGGGCCAGACAAATCATGAAACAACTCAACCTAGGGCATTAATTTTGTTCTCATCAGTGCTAGCTGAATCGCTTTCGTTGTGATATCTTATTCTTGATGCACTGATTTGAGGTAAATTATTGAAGAGGGAAGGGCTGGACTAAGGGAAAAACTGTCGAGATTCTACTGTGAGTGGCAGGCTCGTAAAACGAAGCGCTGGTTAATCTGTAATATTATGTATTCAATAGGTTAGGCTTACAAGTTATAACGATATTTAAGCCTTAAGGCTTAAACTACTTTTTTGTGTTAACTGTGTAATTTTTTTTACTTTTTGTAAGAAAAGCAGCATAGCTGTCTAATTATTGTGTGTTTAACTAAAAGAACTCCAAGGATAGAAGAATCCAAGAATTCATTGTATAACTTAGCTGATGGTTTTCAAGTGTTGTTGGTAGTGGAATAAATTGAAAATGTAAAGTTATCATTGTAGCCTTGCAATAAAACTGAAGTTGTAAAAATATTTTCTGCCTTGATTTATGATGATTTTTCTTCTTCGATTTGTGCCATTTATATTTGAACACTAATAGACTATTAAACTCACAAAACTGTGAACACCAGAAATATTTCTGGAATGATATTCTGTAGTAAGGGTCTAGCCAATGATCAGACTAAGTAAATTCTCACAGTGCAGGGGGTGGGGCTGGAAGGGGGGGTTTCTTTTTTGGATGGTAACATAATTTTTTTTCCTTTGGTTACCCAGATCGTCACTTACCGCACAAACAAGGTTTAGTAATCTGACAATACCATTACGTGTGTTGGGTTTAGCTTCATAGTCTATTCATTTTAATTTTGGTCTAACATTGGGGCCAGGTTGTAACTTGTGGTTTTAAGTGCCGATGTAATAATAACAGATTCCATGAGCCTATCACTTTTGGCAGTTTTAGAAGCATTTATAGCCATTTTAGAAGACTTTAATTTGAAAATTTCCTGGGGGAACATAATGACCCCGGACCCTCCTAGTTTGCTCACACTTACAGGTTCGCATTATCCCCCCCACTTAAAAATCCACTCCGCTGGCCTTGTATTGGTTTATTAATTGACAACCACATGGCAGTGTTTTTTCAGGAGGAAACTGGAAATTCGGATTGGAGAATTTTCAATGGCACACCCCATTTCATTAGGAAAGTTGTGGGAAAATATCTTATAGACTTATAAGAGATGCATATAAATTACAAAAATCTCTGTTTAGTCTCTTCTGCAAGTTCAGCTAATTTTCTTTCCATTCCCTTTGCCAAAACTCCTAAACATTTCCACAATAACTTATGAACATAAAATAAAAAACAAACAAAACAAAAACAAGATACACAAAAAAGAAATACAAGAAAAGATAAGAGAAAGAAGACATGGAAAAAAAAATTACAACACAGGCTTTTCATTTTTTGTACTTGAAGTAAAATATATTGATATGAACTTATAGAGCATAGTAATAATATACTATATCCTACAGAATCTCTGTTAATTTAACTTAAGTGATAAAAAGTGGAATTCACAATGTTACAAAAGATAATCTTTAACACAAAGTTTCAATTTTAATTAAAAGTACCGAAGTAACTTTTCATTACTGTAGTTAAGCGTACAGTTAATAATTATTATTGATAGTGAAGAAATTTTTCCCACAGGAATATCATGAAGCTATACGTAAAGCTTAAGAGTTTAAACAGCTGCCAAATGAATCAGTTTAGGCCTGATTCAAACAAACCCCGTGCAAAATAAAGACAATAATACTAACATAACAGCAATTCCATCAAAAATTATGTACAATGTCCCTGGTCACATTTATATTCAGTGCAAAACATAGTATATTATTTTAGTGCCATACAAAGCCACAAACCTCATAAAATGCCAAGCACTCTTGAAATATTTACAACTATCCTCTTTCCCGTCCAAAGCAAAACCTAGTTAAAATTACTTATGCCACATGACGTGTCTAATCTTAACTTTAAAGTACGTTGTTGATGCACAAGAGTTACTATTCAACTGAAAGAAGTAATCTTGCCACATGAAAATTATAACATTCCAGAATCACGTTTGAGGGTAAAACTAAACTCTATTGGCCATTTCATTTTCCCATTTATATAGTTGATTATCTTATACATAAGTGTTATTGATCAATTATGCTTGTTTGGTCAAAAAGGTTGTATTATTGGCCAAGTTCTTTTACGCATTTTTATTGACTGAGATGAAGTTGAGGTCAATAAAACTACAAAAACGAACGAGGTCAACATACAGCCATCTTGGCCAAACAAGCCTGGTCAATAAAGGATTTATCATATGGCCAAAAAGAAAACTTTTTCTTTAGGGTTTAATGTGGGAAATCCTGAGCGGACAAGATGGGCGGGCCCCTCTTCCCCATTTACGCAGCTAATCAGAACACAGGATTTGCTACATCTTGCCCACTCGTGGATTCAGCCATACTATAAGAAAACATAATTCCACCTTTTGATTCTGAAAGTACTAGCCTGTAGACCATTTTATGAATGAACGTAATAAACAGCACTTTCCTGTGGATCTGTTTGTTATGCTTTACAAGGTGGTCCTAACTTTTGAGTCTGTTGACAAAATCCTACAGTTTGAACATTCAAATGAGAGCTACAGCTGTAATGAGCTACTTCCTAGTTCCTACATGAGCCTCCTAGTTCATTTGGTTGATTAAGCATTTTAGAGTGGCTTGATTCATTCATTTTTGATTCTGCGAAAAATGACCTACTTTGCATTGTTTTCCCTCAGGCACTATAAATAGAGCTGTAAAGAATGCTTCTAAGCGAAAAAAACTGGAAAGTAAGAAAAACAACCAAGCACTACTTTCCAGCAGTGGTACAGACTGTTATGCTTGACAAGACAGTTTTAACTTTTTAGTCCACATAAAAAAACCTCCACAATGGAGTATTCATTTCAAAGGTATTGAGCAGTACTGTACTTAATTTGCTTAGGTTATGGAACTTCTCAGTCACTTCCATAGATGAAAATATTAACGATTTCAAACAACTTGGCCACTGTGACAAGGCAAACTTCACCGCGAGTACACCATTGAATGATAAGCACCTTTACTGCTAATGTATTCTCCACAGCTAGTTCCACTGTAGCCATGAACAATGGCTGCTTGATTTCCAACAACATATCTGTTTGTAACATAGTGACTGGAGTTTCCTTCAAGGGATGTTGCATTTGGGACAGCACTGACTACTGGCATCCCACTTGGGATACCTCCAAGCGCATAAGGCGAAGCACCTAGAATGCCCCCTGCTAAAGAACGATAAAGAAAAATTAGTTGGTAGAAAGGTATACCTGCCAACTTTTTCTGACCCAACAGTGTGAGATTTGTTCTTGTGATGACCTGAATTTATGAAATAATCCCAACAACTTCCAGCAAACAAATTTTTTCTGAACATTTTAAAGATTTTCCGAGGACCCTCACACATTGCTGAAAATGTTCAAAGATGTCCAACTTTTGAGCATTTTTGAAGCTATTTCAAAAGCAAAAATTTTGCATGTTGTGATACTATTAGAACACAAAGTCAACATCAAGCACCTTTTTGGAATATTTTTTGCCAAATTGAATTGTATTTTTGTTGTAAATCACGAGCTCAAGAAGCATTCATCCAGATTTGTGAGTCAGGTATGAGAAATTGTTCTTGTTTCATGAGATCAGTGCCCTGCATAATGCATGAGAGTTGACTGGTTCAGAAAGGGTAAACATGTCAGGAAGGATTTTGGTCTTTGATATATTGATACTGGCAGCTAGTTGTTAACAAAAAACAAGCCCAAAACATTGTATGCCCTGGCAGCAAAATGTTGAGTCCTCCACAAGAACTTTTTGTCCTGCAGCATGCAAAAAACAGCTAATAAATTAATCATTAATCAAAAAGTTCTTCCCCAACCTAGTTAAAAGGACTTTCAGGCCAGTAAATGCTAGTTACAACTGGCCAAAAAGGGCAGGCAAGTTTTAAAAACTCCTTTTTCTTTTCACCCTGGTCCTCTGCCTTTCCATTTTTCTATAAAAATAGCGTAGACTTATTATTGGTTTAAGTATCAATTTAATTTGTCCTGTGATGTCATATCGTTAATTCTTGTGACCACTCTCTGTGTTACAGGGCATTGATTCAATTAAAAAGGGAAAAATTTCATACTGTTCTCTGTCAATACTAATAAATTTAAAAAAGATAAAAGGCCTCTTCACATGCACCCAGTTGACTGGGTTGGCGGGGTTACCAGGACCAATTTTGCCATGGGTTCACATAAGAAATTTCAGACTGGTTTCAAAGATGGGAAAAGGCAGAAGATCCTGGAACGAGTTCTGGCGCGAAATTCGAGAAACAAAGCAAACTTCGCTAGCTAAACACAAAGTTATAACTTTTGTGCCTATCATCGCTTTGGCAACTCTTATATCTGTATCATTGCAGTTAAATGGGATGCTTTTGATGTGGAAAATACAGCAGGCAATGCGAGACAATGCCATCCAGGGCAACCAGAATTAATCCTGCTTTCATCCTGGTAACTGGACTGAAGTGTTCATTTGGCAAAATTTCCAGCCCCCTTACGGAGATCCCACCCTTCACATGAACACGATGAAAATTTTACTAAGGATTTAGAGTAAGGTGAGACCCCGAAAACCGAGCCAGGGCAGTCAACCAGGCTCATGTGAAGAAACCTTATGAGAGCCGTTTTCACAAAGACAGCACTTTTGGGAGTACAGATCATACCAACCTCCACTATAAGACCCAACTGTGCCAATTCCAAGTCCATTACCCATAAGAGCACCACAAGATCCTGTATCCAGACCATTTTCATTAACACCGGCTACAGAGCTGTTCCAGTACAGTTCAGTTGGTGATACTGTGTTTGTACCTGCGGGAACTACAGTTTGGCTACCAGTGTAGCGGAAATAAGGATTCTTTAGGTCAAGACTGTTTGTCGATTTGATGTTAGTTCCATCCACTGAGACTTCTATTTCAACGTCATAGCTTTGTCTGTTAGGTGTAGATGAAAATGAAGGGAGAGTAAATCAATTTAAAATAGAAAGTAACACACACCTTGTTTGATCTTAATTTAAACTTTAACAATATCACCAGGCGTATAGCATGCGCCACAGCTGGAACTAAACTTCAGGTTATAAGTCCGTCAGCAAAATGGTGCCAAAATCCTGGTTCTGGGCCCTCACCTGTGTTCCAGTAAAGTAAGTAAGTATGTACCAGTTTTTGATTGGCCTGTTCAAAACGTCATCGTCAATTTACCAATCAGGTCAGAGGGAAGTTCAAAACGCATATATCCGGTAATGTGTTAAATCAGTTGGGGCCCAGAAGAAGGATATCACTGATGCTTCACAGACGTTATTAACTGTTATTAACTGGGTTAGATGTCCACTCTGCAACCTAGGCTACTAAGCATAAAACTCTTCAAACTGTTCTCCATGCATTACATATGGCATAACAACACTTGTTAATCATTTCCATTAACAATCTTCAGTCAGTAAGTTTATTTGAGCAGTATGCTACGTGAAGGAGAAACTGTTGTTCACCTTTAGACATTTCTACCTCTATTCTTTTAAAACAAGGATCCACAGGGAAAAATTTCAAAAAAACATTAGTGAATTTTAAGGAAACATCATGTTTTTTCTTGAAATACCATTTACAAATTTTGACATTAATGGTATCTTCTCCTATCTTCTACTTTTAACATTCTTAATAAT